TGGGCTGGGGACAGAAGCACCTCTCCCATGAGAGGGCTCTGTGCAAAGCTGGGAGGGGATGAGGCGCCCGTGACGTGTGGGCAACCAGGTTCATTCTTGTGAAAATGTTCACACTTGGGGACCTGCTGGCTGGGTTGGGAGGAATTGGGAGAGGCTGTTTGGCAATCGGCCCAAAGCCACTGGGGGCTGTGAGGAGCAGGTTCCATGGTCAAACGGGGTTGGGTGTTCTGAGGGGGATGTGAGGAGAATTTGGAACAGAGAGAGTGGGTAGTGGGTCCCCAGACTTGCCCGATCTAGTGCACCAGGAAGGAAGGGCACGCACGGAGGCGGGTGCGGGAGGTATGAGTCACTGCAGGTGAGGGGCAGAGCTGGGAGACAGAAGGATGGCAGAGCTGCAGGCTGATACGTCAGCAGATCTTGATGGAATGAAAACATCGACACTGTCTTGCTTGAGTCTGGGTACTCTGAGTGGAAGCAGTGACTAGAGAATTCACTTGGACCCGCTGTTCATGATATGGTCTATACACCGCTGTGGAGAACACCAGGGTTCCCAAATACCCCCTAGGGTTGATGGAGAAGGGTCCCACAGGGCAGGGCTTGGAACCCTGTCTGGAAACCATGTGGGAGGTTTCACAGTTGAGGTGGACGTCCCACCGTCCAGCATCATTCCATCCTATTCTCTGTAATAGTCCTCTTCAAATCTGTCCCTTCTCAACACAGGTCCTGGGGACCAGGGACCAAATTCCATCCTTGCCCCAGGAGGCGGCCAACAACCAGGGACACAACCCACATAGTATTTCTGGGCAAGTAAGTGGTTCGGGAATGAGCACCGACCTCTGGTTTGGGATATTTTTTTGAGCCACTGGGGCAACAGTCCCCTTTCTTGGCTCTTTCCCACTAGGGTTGCAGCTGAGAGGGTCTAGCGATGGAGGAATCACAGGCATCTAGTCATCACAGGTGCCTGTGAAACAGGTCAAACGCAGCCAGGACAGTACAGGTGGCCTCTTAATAATTTAAAAACATTTTGGGATGAAGAGAGCATTGCACAAGTGTAGATAAGCTATGCACATCCCAGGGCTGACTAGCTGGCATTTGAAATGCCTCATTGGAAAGCCACACTTCACAGCGAGTTGTTTAAACCCTTTATAAAATTAATCAGTGACATGAGCAATGTGGGAGACAAATGGGCATCTACAGACTATGCTCTCCTCTCTCCCCTTCACATAAACTGAGTACAGAAATCCCACCAGCCTCCTGGTCTGGTCTTTGAAGCCAGCCCTCATGGCCTGGGCGCCTCAGGCCTTGTGTGCCCCTTTTCCAGAAAATGACATTGTGGGCTCCCCTCAGAGTGAATCTTTCAAGCAAAGTGCTTGTTGTAGAACCTGAAGACAGAGTGGGGGGCATGGGATAGGTTCTGCAGGGGAGGAAAGATAATTTCCCTCTACTCTTCTGAGTTCTTGGTTGAGATTCTGGTAATAAAAGATTAACAAGAGGAAGACAATCAGAAATGTATTAACAATGTATCTGCCACGTATACGTAGAGATATAGCCAAGAAATAATGAGTAACTCCCAGAGGTGGCTCAGAATTCAGGACTAGAGAACACCTTCCCTGGGAAGGTGGAGGCGGTGGGAGGACTCTTAGGGGAGAGTAAATGACTTCGAGGAAAGATAAACTGGCCCTTAGAAGAATAGCTGGGAAGCATAATGCTTTGTGACCACCTTTATCTGGGTGTGGTGGTCATTTTTGTCCTCTCTCCTATGACAGAAGTCCATCCTTCCTGGTTGATGCAACTCCCAGGGAAGGTTTTTATGGCCACTGAGTCCTTTTCTTTCTTTCTTTTCTTTTCTTCTTTCTTTCTTTCTTCTTTCTTTCTTTCTTCTTTCTTTCTCTTTCTTTCTTCTTTCTTTCTTTTTTTTAACATTTTTTTAAAATTTGAAGTCAGTTAATTAAAATATTAATAATAAAATTAAGTATTACTGATTTCAAAGGTACAGGTCTGTGATTCATCAGTCTTCTCTAACACCCACTGCTCATTAAATCACATGCCCTCCTTACTGTCCATCACCCAGTTACCCCATCCCTCCACCTCTCTCCCCTCCAGGAACCCCTGTTTGTTTACTATGATTAAGAGTCTCTTATGCTTTGTCTCCCTCTCTGGTTTCGTCTTGTTTTTTTTTTCCTCTTCTTCCACTATGATCCTCTGCTTTGTTTCTTAAATTCCACATGTCAGTGAGATCGAATGCTAATTGTCTTTCTCTGATTGGTTTATTTTGCTCAGCATAATATGGCCAGTGAGTCTTTTTGGAGAACTGGTCATCAGGCAGTTGAGGACAGTTCACAGAAAGCCTTTCCCTCCAACTGCTGCTCTTCAAGTGCCTACAGCTCAAAGCCGTCAATATACCAAAGTGGCCTATTTTGGGTGGCACGTGCTTAACTAGTCATATTTTGGGGAGGCATATTCTGCTACCCTTCAGTTCCATGATTTTCAAGTGCATGTGTGTGTGTGTGCTAAGCACATTTTCATGCATTTGTCAAGCTTTGTTACAAGATTTGCTTTCACGGTTACATACTCCCTGACAGTGATGGGGCATGCTCAGTCCCATTTACCTCTTGCAGCTGGTGGTGCTGGTATTTGGTATTACAACCCCACAAGTGTGACACCAAATTGCCCCCAGGGCTTAATTGACAGAAATGGAAGAAAACCAAGTTCTGATGAATTCACTGAGGCCTGAATTCAACTGTGGACCCTAGACTTTTCCAGTTAAGGAAGCAGGGTATTCCCTTTTTGTGTGGGCATTTGTCTTTTTTTTAAAAACATCTGTGGAAGATTCCTAACTGATGAGCTCTTCCTTGATGCTACATACCGGAAGGCTGGAACAAGGTGGGAAAACACAGTAGCACTCAGTCATTCCGGTAGAACCAGAAACAGGATACGTGGGCAAACTTGATCTGATTCATTCCACTTTATTCTGGATGTAAATTACAGGTAACACAACTCGTAAACATACTAGTGGACATTGAAAACTAAGGCCATTCTGTGAATTATTTTTAAAACTTGTTTCGTACATAATCTTTTAAAAAATAAATTACCAAAACCAAGATTCTCTTCTGAAATAAAAGCTTAAGGTTGGTACGAGACAACTTCTGGCCATCTCCAATCTGAAGTTCATTGTGTGACAAGACCGTGTTTGCTTGCTACAGCATAAATAATAGCTCTAAGGCAAAGGCTACCTCGGCATCAAGCTCTCCTCTCCAGATGTCCCCACAAAATAGTGTTTACCACAGTGACCAGTGTTTACAAACCATTTTCCTCCCAGTGAGTAGCAAAAAGAGACTTTTACCTAAGAAACACATTGTAGAATTCTTGGAACAAGAAAAGAAAGGGACCCATAACTAAGGCACTGAAAGCACATTATTTATATAAAGAAATGTAAACAATTTAATACCAACAGGCTCCCTCCCATTAGAGTCTCTATTACAAAAGTGCACAGGGGCATCGCGGTCAGGCCGAGAGCCTGCAGCCCGGGTGCAATGGGCACATCACCCCTTCTGCAGAATTCGCAGAATTCTGGCCACCAAAGTCCAGCTCCCAGTGTGGTGCTGAGAAGTAACTAATGTCAAAGTGACACAAGCGGAAGCTGGTATTTCTCCCTAATGTGTGTGTTAGTAGTGTTACAAATAAAGAAGGGTTTTAATAGGAGTTTGAAATTACGGGCTGTTTAACGTTTTCTTCTGGTCTTTTACCACATTCGCCCACTGGTTTGTATAGTGACTTTGGCCGCTTATCAGAGCTTTCTGGTGGTAAAACCTGGGACCCCATCAGCGCCCTTCCTCGTAGTTTACTATTTTAAGTATAATGGTTCACGTCCCATACAAAGCACATTTGCTTTGTTTAAAACGTTTCAGAATGGTAAAGAGCGAACAGTTGGACAGACGGTACTGTAAACGTTTCACAACCCGCTTCTAAGCTGATCCTCAAAGGACCGAAAGAGCGTTCAGTGGGAAGAGAGTGGCTAGACTCAGAAGGACTGACAGCTGCTCTGAGTCCAGAGTGATGAGATGGGAAGGGGTGGAGGGCTCATTCCTGAGGCTGATCATAACACTGAAAGTTAAATTAATTTTTACTTGACATTCTTAAACCAATTTACAAAGCTTTAAGTTCCAAATCATTCACTATTTCTTTAAATTCTTTCTCTTAAAAAAGCCAAACATGTAGGAACAAAGAATTACAACTTTATAAGAAGCCTTACTGCGAAAACACAAGACCCCGGAAAACAAAACAGAAAGAAGCAACTTCTTTCTCTTTGAAGTTATCATTTCTGATTCAGAGAGCAGGTACGATGTCTGCACTCCCCAGTTTGGGTGCGTATGAATTTTGGGTAGTAAAACAAAGTTTGCATTATCTTAAACATGTCTTTTATAATCCAAAGAAAACATTTTCTTAAAGAGGAAAGGAAAGAGCTTTCCTCTTGTACAGGTCTCACGCCATCCTCTAAAGGTTACACCACAAACAAGGAGCCGGGGAGCTGGAGGGCAGGCGGCTGGGTGGGCTACAGTACAAACACGTGTGGGGTAGAAGATGCAGCTCTTCTCTTGCCCAGGACAAATGCAAGGCTAATTGTAAAACTGTGTTTCCAAATATAATCAAGAGGAGGTCTAAGAGAAAACTAAATTAGAAACTTCTTTTATTAGGACCAAAAAAAAAAAAAAGGTTAAAAAAGAAAAACACCTTAAAAACCACGGGATTAAACAGTTGGGTCTGGAGCAGATGTGCACAGTAATTAGCGGCTCCAGGCAGGAAGGAAAAGGGCCTGGGGGGTGTGGTTAAATATAGGCCTGTGCGTGCGCACACACTCCTCGGTCCCCCTCCAGTAAAAGTGGTGTCAACGGTGTTCTGCAAGCAACTCGGCCCTTTTCCTCAGTAAGTTCGGCTAACAATGTGCTTACCTTTCATGGCAGTGCATGTTTCCATTGTTGGATTCAAGTCACTGCTGAGCAAAAATGGGCTGTAGTTACGGAGAAGGCGTTCATGCCAAAAGGGTACATAGAGCAGTAGCGTTTGAGGCCGGTGGGAGGCAGGAGGAAAGCGGGCAGGTCTGCGAGCAGCTCGAGATTTCTCACTGCCTCACGTTTTCTGCTGCTCTGACCAGCGTCCCTATCCTATGACAAAAACAGTCGGGCCAGCTCCAGCAGGGTGGAGACAAGGACCACGCATCCCTTCTGCCTCAGGAGGAGACTGGTGCTGTTGGTTTGCTGGAATTCCCGTGGACTCCAAGCACCAGGAATATTTAGGCAAACGACTGGTCAAAAGTGGATTTAAATTTTAGTACTCAAACAGACAGCCTGGGACTAAAAAATGAGAGCGAGAGCCCTCATTATCATTAAAAAGGGGTTCATTTTCCTGTTATCAAAAATCCGTCAGGGCTGCGAGGGAGGAACTGAGGCTGAGCCATGACCGCCCGGGCTGCACACGCTGTTGCTTTAACGCAGATGCCAGATACCCATGCACGTACAGAAAATACAGTATCCTTCCTTTTTGGGGCAGGTTTAAAGAACTATTTCAACAGACACAACTTCAAGAGTTTCTGACCGCAGTGACAGACCCTTCCATGCATTCCTTTAGAAAGGTAAGTGACTCGATGTCACGCAGAAAAAGCTACCCCTGCCGATGAGCGTCAAGGAAACCAGCTCGGAGCACGCAAGAGTAAGTAGAAGGGAACAACTGAACGGTCTTCGTTCCTATCTGTACAAATCCAAACTAAGGTTTCTAAGCGGAGAGCCTGTGGTTGCTCCCTGAGAAATGTCCAGGTCTTACTATCCATAGGAAGAAAGGGCACAGGCGGTCTTCTGATGTCTAGGTAAGTGCGAGGCTAAATGTCAAGGTTTTATGAATAATGAAGGGCTTCCCAGCAAAATGGTTGGTTGGTTGAAGGACGTGGGATTTCTGTTTTCTGGCCTTAGGAAAGGATGCAATGGTTTGACTGGCATAGAAATGAGCCAGGGGGACAGTGCTGGGGGAGGGAACCCAGAGGAAGGGCTCTCACCTCCAGTGTCAAGTGCCAGCCCTTGCTCTGAGCCCCGCATCTGCCTCTTGTCTCTGGAGTTTGTTACGAAATAGGATTGGGCCTGTAAGAAAATTTTGTGTGTCCCTTGTCTGCTAACAGCCTGGTGGCTGCTTTAGGGACACTCTGGCCCGAGTTATTTTATAGCGATCGCTCCCTGCTAGGCGTATTGAAATTACATTCAGAGAGTTTAAAAAAAAAAAAAAAGTGTGTAGCAATATTTTCCCACAAAACTGAGTGCAAAGTATCTTTAACAAATAAGGATGGTAGTAGAAATATTTGACATAGTCATGCAAAACCGCATCTCCGTGTACAAAGGCTCGACACATTTCCAAAATATCCCCTTGGCCATTAAAACTGTGAACCTTATGATCTCACTCCTGTTTCTTTACATTTAAATGTGGCTGTTTGTGAAAAAACCGGTAACATCCAAGTTCAACCATCTCCAGTCCGCCAAATATTCTCTCTAGCAGCACAAAGAGAACCATGGTGATTATAAAGTACCACCGAACAGGACTGTACAGATATATGAGGAGGCACATTGCAGGGCTGAACAGGGTCCAGTAAAGTATGGAGAGCAATTTGAGCACAAGGACCCTGAGCTCAGACTTGCAAGGTGGAATTACAGTCTGTCCCATAAACTGAAAATTCTTCTGCCCTTGATAGAAGGCACGAAGCCTCTCTTCCTTTTCCTCCCAGCGCCGGTGGCACCAGAGCTGCAGGTCCTCCCTGGACACGGGGAGGGCGTCTACCGGGTAGCGGTGCACATGGAAGTGAATCTCCTTGGGGAAGTCCCCAAGGACGAGATGCTTCTCTGTCTGAGGAATGTTGTGAGGGTACGCCACCGTGATGTCGTGGACTGCATCGAGGTTCTTACCTAGGTTTTGGAAAAGATAAAAAATACAGACTGAGTAATGATCAATGCAGGGCAGTAAGGCTGATTCAAACGACAAGGCAGAACCAAAACCAGGGAAAGAATCACGACAGAGTGAGCCACGGTAAACAAACAAGGGCTATATAGACTGGCGTTCCTAGATTTTTGGGTCAGATTTACCAGTCATTTTTAGTTTTTTTATTTGCTGCTAATCACCACAAAGACCTTCAGAAAGAAATTATCTTCACTCATGGAGACAGTAACCTGTAAACAGTAAACAGGTTTGAGATAGAAATAATTTTTTTCATTTAAATTCACTTTAATCAACATGGTTTCAGAAGTAGAATTTACATTTGTCAGTTGCATGCAATAGCTGGTACTCTTTCCACCAAGCGCCCTCCTTAATGCCCATCACTCACCTCCCCACCAGCAACCCTCAGTTTGCTTCCTAGAGTCAAGAGTCTCTTATGGTTTGCATCCCTCTCTGTTTCTATTTTTTCTTTCCCATTCTTAATTCCATATATTAGTGGAATCATATGATATTGGTCTTTCTCTGACTTATTTCACTTAGCATAATACCCTCTAGTTCCAGCCACGTTGTTGCAAATGGCAAGATTTCGTTCTTTTTGATGAGTAATATTTCATTGTATGTATACACCACCACATCTTCTTTATCCATTCGTCTGTCGATGGACATCTGGGCTCCTTCCATAGTTTGGCTGCTGTGGACACTGCTGCTATAAACACTGGAGTGTATATGCTTCTTCGAATCACCAGGCATCCTTTAGATAAGTCCCTAGTAGTGCATCTGCTGGGGCGTAGGGTAGTTCTATTTTTAACTTTCTGGGGAACCTCCATACTGTTTTCTAGAGTAGCTGTACCAGTTTGCATTCCCACCAAAAGCACAAGAGGGTTCCCCTTTCTCTGCATCCTCGCCAATGTCTGTTGTATTCTGAGTTAATTTTAGCCATTCTGACTGGTGTGAGGTGGCATCTCATTGTGGTTTTGATTTGTATTTCCCTGATGCTGAGTGATGTTGAACATTTTTTTTTTTTAATGAGTCTGGTGGTCATTTGTATGTCTTCTTTGGAGAAATGTGTGTTCATGCCTTCTATTTCTTGCTGGATTTTTTTTGGTTTTGGGTGTTGAGTTTGGTAAGTTCTTTAAAGATTTTGGATGCTAACCTTTTACCTGATAAGACATTTGCAAATATCTTCTTCCATTCTGTTGGTTATCTCTTAGTTTTGTCGACTATTTCCTTTGCTGTACAAAAGCTTTTTATCTTGATGAAGTCCCAATAGTTCATTTTTTTGTTTCCCTTGTCTTTAAAGATGTGTTTACTAAGAGGTTGCTGTGGCCGAAGTCACAGAGATTGTTGCCTGTGTTTTTCCCTAGGATTCTGATGGATTTCTGTCTCATATTTAGGTCTTTCACCCACTTTGGGTTTATTTTTGTGTGTGGTGTAAGGAAAGGGTCCAGTTTCATTTTTCTGCATGTGGCAGTCCAATTTTCCCAACACCATTTGTTGAAGAGATGGTCTTTTTTTCCATTGGACATTCTTTCCTGCTTTGTCAAAGATTAGTTGACCATAGAGTTGAGGGTCCATTTCTGGAGACTCTTCTCAGTCCCATTGATCTATCTATCTGTTTTTGTGCCAGTACCATGCTGTCCTGATGATTACAGTTTTGTCATAGAGCTTGAAGTCCAAAATTGTGACACCACCAGCTTTGGTTTTCTTTTTCAACGTTCCTTTGGCTTTTCTGGTTCCATGCACATTTTAGGACTATTTTTTCTTGCTCTATGAAAAATGTTGGTGGTATTTTTTTTTTAAAGATTTTATTTATTTGACAGAGAGAGATCACAAGTAAGACAGAGAGAGAGAGAGGAGGAAGCAGGCTCCCTGCCTAGCAGAGAGTCTGATGTGGGACTCGATCCCAGGACCCTGAGATCATGACCTGAGCTGAAGGCAGAGGCTTAACCCACTGAGCAACCCAAGCAGCCCTGTTGATGGTATTTTGATAGCGATTATATCGAATGTGTAGATTGCTCTGGGTAGCATAGACGCTTTCACAATATTTGTTTTTCCAATCCATGACCATGGAATTTTTTTTTTTTTTAAGATTTTATCCATTTGACAGAGATCACAAGCAGGCAGAGAGAGAGAGAGGAAGGGAAGCAGACTCCCCGCTGAGCAGAGAGCCCGATGCGGGGCTCGATCCCAGGACCCTGAGAGCATGACCTGAGCTGAAGGCAGAGGCTTTAACCCACTGAGCCACCCGGGCGCCCCAAGCATGGAATATTTTTCCATTTCTTTGTGTCTTCCTCAATTTCTTTCATGAGTGTTCTACCGTTTTCAGAGAACAGATCCTCTGCCTCTTTGGTTAGGTGGGTTGTGTTCCTTTTTTAATGTTCTTTAAGTCTTCTGTAAATGTCCACTGTCTGTCTCCTTTACTCTGTGATTTACTTCAGTCCAAGTTCCAATCTGGTTTCATAACTATCTTACAATATATTAAATATAATCAGCCCTTGGCAAGGACTGTAGTCTGAGAAATGAAAATACCTGTGTCAACAAGGCTAAGATTCAGAATTGAAGGGACAGTCTCATTGGGAAGCTGAGCATTGTATACGAGAGCGGAAGTGGATGAAAGATCCGTGAGGGACGGCTGTGGTGGAGGTGGATCTGAAGATCTTGAGGAAAGGAGAGGCTAGACCTCTTTGATTTCAGCAGGGAGTCCACTTTGTCTCACAGTGGAGGAAATGTCACTTCCTGTCACTTGTCATGCCTCTTTACCTCCTAGAACTGAGTGCTCGTTCCACTTACTTTTAAAACTCCCCTGCAAGCAACATTTTTGTTTCATGTTCTGCCCAGACCCCTCTCTGAAAGGACTGCTGGTCTCATCAGACTCACTGGTCCACAGCCTGGGATGAAGCCCTTCCTCAGGCAGCTCTCACCACCCTCCTCCTTGGTCACCCTACCTGTGCACAGCTCCCCCTCAGCAGCTGCTTGTGTGATCCAGCCTTCTTCCACAGGTGCTGCTCAGTGCTCACCAAATGCTATCAAAAAGGATAGAGCTAGGGCACCTGTGTGGCTCAGTGGGTTAAGCCTCTGCCTTCAGCTCAGGTCATGATCTCAGGGTCCTGGAATCGAGTCCTACATCAGGCTCTTGCTTGGCAGGAAGCCTGCTTCCTCCTCTCTCTCTCTGCCTGACTCTCTGCCTACTTGTGATCTCACTCTGTCGAATAAATGAATAGAATCTTTAAAAAAAAAAAAAAAGGCTACAGCTATACTAGGAAGAAACTAAACTTTCTACTTTCTTCTGGACAACCCATAAGGAAGGGTGTGTGTGCAAATGCATGTCTGTTGAGGATATAAATGGCAATGTTTGAGACCAGGTCCATATCACTTACAGAAATGTTCCTAAGTGAAAAATTCCAGAAACACTGCTGTGTGGAGCACGGAGGGCTGTGGAAGCAGAATGTCCAAATTCAAATTCTAGGTCCTGGGGCGCCTGGGTGGCTCAGTGGGTTAAAGCATCTGCCTTCGGCTTAGGTCATGATCCCCGGGTCTTGGATAGAGGCTCTCTGCTCAGCAGGGAGTCTGCTTCCTCCCCTCTCTCTCTCTGCCTGCCTCTCTGCCTACTTGTGATCTCTGTCTGTCAAATAAATAAATCTTAAAAAAAAAAAAGAAAAAAAAATCCTAGGTCCTGCCTCTTACTGACTGACTGGTCTCTGTCGCTTGCTTGGTTCCTGTATCTATAAACTACCTCACAGAGGTGTTGGGGCATTAAATGAGAAAATACACATAAAAACACGTAAAATAGGGTCTGAGACATAGTAAGTACTCAATAAATGTTGGCTGCTAACATAGCTTACTGAATCGTAACACCAGCATTGTTGGGTTCTAACCTGTCCCTCTGACTTTAGCTCCTGTGAGCCCGCCGGTGCCAGCACAGTGTGGGGACTGCACTCACATTCCCTCTCTATACTACCGTCCAGGGTATTATCAGCCTGAGCCCCGATGACGCCAATGAGGGACCTCATGCCTTCTACACAAGACAACTACTCAAATTGCTATTTCAATTGCCAAGAATATTCTCTTTGTCTCAAATATACAGCCTGTTTCCCTGAAATCTTTTCTCTCCACTCTCTTCAAAGTCTATCTCCAGAGTCAAGGAGACTGCATTCTAAGAAGAGCTTTCTTCAAGCATCCAGGCCCAGAGTGGTCTTGCCCCCTGGCATGTTCAGGACATAAGTTCTGTGTGCTTGTTTGGGTACTCCTCTGCCATCCTGTCCTCAATTACTGGAAGCTCATGGAAACCCAGTCTCCCAGGGCATCATAAGTACCAGAAGGGAAAGGACCATGTTTCTGCTTTAGATCTTTAGTACCTAGCACAATGCCCTGCGCTTAAAACAGGTTCCAGAAATGCTTGCTTGACCAAAATTTTTGCGGTCTGATATCCTCTCACATAAAAATACAGGAGGGAATTATAATGCCTTCTACATGAGGTTGTCATAACAACGCAGTGAATTAATATACATAAAGCCCTTTGCATAGTGCTGGGCAAAAAGAAAGTTCTTAATGTTAGCATGACTACAACTTCTATATACCATTAGTAAGACCTAACTACTGCATGGAAATTTTTTTTTTTAACTTGTGTGCTACAGATTCTTGGTTCTGAAAGAATTACAACAATCTTGGGTAATGGGGTGTCACCTTAAAAAAGGCAATATTCCAAAAGATTTCCAATAAATTGCTTTTTTGGAATTTAGAACTTTGGAATGACAGAACTCAGCATAACTAAAATACTACTTATATTACAAACAAGAGCAACAGTATAATGTGAGAAGCTAAAGGAAATGAAGTGAGAAAGGAAGAAGTGGGGAGGGGGAAGAAGAGACAGCTTGTTGCTCATCGCCCTGAGCTGTACTGGATCCTTAAGTATTAGAGGGACTAAGAAATGCATTCAGGCCAGAGCAAGAGAGGAGGAAAGGGACAAAATCCT